AATTATTTTTAATTAATTTTATTTCTTATTTTTGCCTCTGTAATTTTATTTTGCTCCCAATAATAATGGGCAAAAGTAATTGGTACAAGAATCGCATAAACCGCTCTTGTTGAATTCTCGCTCCTGCCCTTCTTCCTCGATAATCTGTAAATTATTAAAAAGACTGGATTAGTATATATCAAACGCGCGCGCGCACGCACGCGCGCACACACACACACACACACACACACACACGCGCGCGCGCGCGCGCGCGCGCACGCGAAAATATAAAACTATGCGTAATATATTCTTTATTTATGTTTTTGTACTTACTTGGTCTTCTAGCATCGTTTAGAGCAGCGACTGGAACGGCGGCGGCAGCTACAGCGTCGACGATGGCTGGAGCGGCGGCGGCGCGGGCGGCTGGAGTAGACAAACTTGCTCTCAACTTTATCAAATATTCTTTTTTGATCTGTATTCAGTTTTAAAATCATTTAAGATATATCAATTTCCTGTTTGTTTCCAAGATCCTTAAAATCTTGCATTGCTTTATCAGCTTCAATATTTAGGACACCTATTGGATTATCAGGATCATCTTGAGACACATTTTGTTTTTCTAAATCATCAAAATATTGTTGAAGCAATTGCTTCGCAGTTTCAAATGCTTTTTGCATATTCTTCTAATTTTTCATGATACTCTAATGCTTTTGTAAGATGTAATTTTACCACGTGAAATGATTCTGCATAAGTATCACATCCATTTTTAAGATCTTCTATTTTCCGCCATGGTTTAAACATAAGGAGTAATGAATAGAAATAATTTTCCGGCCGCGCATTAACATCATATCTATAATGATTAATAAGATATCCATGTTGTCGCCGTTTTATATAATTAACCATTATTCATCTCGTAGTATTCAATATTTTTACTTCGTGGTTTGATTTTTGTAATATAATACCACTGTGCAAATTCATATAAAGACATCAATTCAAATTCTTCCGATCTATTTGCATAATAATTATCTATAACAGATGGACAAAATAACGTAATAACTTCGTATAGCATACAACTGAGTCGACAAGGCACACAGGGGATA